GTTCAGGTGCCGCAGAGACATCCCAGAAAGGAGGCAGGACAGTGAGCAGGGCACGCACTGGCCGGTGGAGAACAAGCCAACTGCCCTGCAAACCCAGACAGGTCTGTGTGAGCCTGCAGGCAGGAAGCAGGCAGGAACCCTCTGGAAGTGCACGGCGTGCTGCCAGCTGTCCCCAGCCCAGGGGACACCGCTCCACGTCTTTCTGCCAGGCCATGGGTGCAGGAGGAGCAGTGACTTTGCAGCTGGCAGGGGAGGCGTGAAGGGTACGGCCATCCTTTTAATGCCTTTCACCTTTGCACGAGTCGAGAGGGCGTATTGATTTGGTCTCAGTTTTTTAATGGAGGCATCGATCGACTTCCAAAGGAGCTATGCAAATCGCCAGGTCGATGGGCTGCCTATAAATAGACCTGTCACCTTCCCTCCCTGCCTCTGCCCTGGGAACCTGAGCCCCGAAGCCCATCCATCCCCAGGGAAGGGGGAGGATGGGGACAGGACATCCTTCTGCCCGGCCCTGCAGCTGCTGTCCCCAGAGCCAGCTCCCCTCCCCGGGGCAAGCCCCGACTTGGGGATGGTGGCTACCTGTTCACGCCTCAGAAGGGCTGTGCTGTGCCAAGCTCCAAAGATTTCCCCATGGCACTGAAAAGCCAGCTGGGACTGTCCCATCTCACCACCATCACCTCTTGCCCAGGATCAGCCCCTAGCACCATAAGTGCAATTTGGCAAAGTAATCAGAGCGCTGCCTGCAAAGCTTCCAAGTCTGTAGCCTCATTACAGGAATAAGCCCCTCGATGCCTTATTTCTCCTCGCTGATCTCTGCACAAGGCCTGCTCGGTTCCTCAAGACAGTGGTCCACCCTGGCTTGCACACCTCTACCCCAGGATGCTCAGCCACCGGCGAGCCCCAGCGAGGGCAGTGATGCAGCTCTGGCATGGGTGGCTTGGCAGGAGGAGGCTGTGGGCACATGCACAAGCTAAAGTGAGCCTAAATCACACGCTGGGCTAGGAGCAAACTCCTGCCTCTCAGTCTCTGCGATGCCCTGATCATGCATCCCTCGCACCACGGGCACTGCTGAGGTCACCAAGGTGGGGGCAGAGGGCAGGCAGCACTGGCAGCAGCTGAGTTGAGCAACGGACAGAGCAATCCACAATCTGCTGGGGCCGACTGATTTGGTGCTGCCAGGCAAGCAGGCAGCCCCTCCCCACGCTCCCTCCCACCAGTGTCACCCTGCAGCATCTCCAAACTGCCCCGTGCCCGCAGACCCCAACCCCCAGCCAGGACTCAAGAGCTGAGAAATTTGGGAAGAGCCAGTTCCAGGCTGTGCCACCCTGGCACCAAAGGCCCAGAGCCTGGCATGCACCCAGAACCCCCAAAAGCAGCCACAGGAGCCACAGCGCTCCGCAAACGAAGCACTGAGACAGTGACCCCCTATTTATCTATATTGGGGAAAGGGGGGGGAATTGATCTCGGAGGCAGTAAAAGGTTTGAGGAGAATTGATTTTTCTCTCTGAGAGATAGAAAAAGCAGGGAGGGAGGGAGAGAGGGAGGGACAGAGGAGGCCTCGGCCCAAGCGAGCACAAAACCCCGCTTTAAGGATGCACTTCGCTTCTCTTTCGGCCTTTTCCCCCCAACCCCGCAAACCCCAACCCTGAGCAGGGGAAAACCCCAGGCACAGGTGGCTGCGGCCGGTGACGTTTGCTCGGGGCAGGCATGGCCCGGGAGGAACCAGCCAGGCTGCACCCGCCGCCCTCCTTTCCTTAGAATTAAAAAAAAGTCAATCAGATATTGACAATTAAGACAGATAACTGAAAACACCGGACTCGATGTTAAGTTGGCTGTAAAAATGTCAGCGTGGGGAAAGGGGTCATCTGCAAAAATAAATCAACCCCTTTTACACGCCCACCCCCAAAAATGAGATAAAAAAGGCAGAAGGAAAGGCTCGGCGAGGGAGACTTTTTTCTTTAACAGTGGCTTTCTAAATAACTTTTTGGGGGAGTCTTTTTTCCCCTCTTTTTTTTTGGGGGGGTGGGGGGAGCTTAACATTTTCAACTCTATTCTTTCACTTAGGTGACAGATTTATCCCAGTAAAATTATGTTTCATGCTCAAACTTTGAAGGGAAAGTGGCTACGTAAATGCTGAAAAAATGCAGCGAGACACACTTGATCCCCCAACTGGACTGCGAAGAGGAGAAAGTATTCAGGAAATGTTAAAAAAGGTGAAAGTAAGAAGCGTTTTAATAGTTCTTCCAGACATGGGGGCCTCCCTAGAGATTCATATAGAACAATCCTGAACCTCTATTTTAACATTTACAGACTTGCAACTCTTTTAAAACTTTACATCTGAAAAACTGCTTGTTCTCTTTCTGGTTTAGATCAGTCTTCATTTTCCTCCTTAGCTCTTCAAATGCTTAACCTTTTTTTATTACATTTTAATAGAGTTTTTGAAGCCACCACCAGTCCCCTCCTTCTGCCCTTATTTAAACCTGGTCGTTACTTAAATGTGCACTAACTGCTGTTTAAAATCCGGGCATTATAGGTCTAAAACACGACAGGATTTTTTGCTTGGGAAATTAGCTAATGCCCTTTCAAGCTGGGGCTGCTCTAGGGTGGGAATAATTCATTTGGAAGATTAATGCTGGATGTATGGAATACCCTATAGGTGGAATCTGCGCTGTGTTTGCACTGCTGTCATCCAGCGTGAAATTTTCAGCCAAAACAAAAGGAAAGAAGGGAAAAAAAAAAATAGCAGCACCAGAAGGGGAAGGAAGAAAAGTGCTTCTACTAATCTCCCCAAGCAAGAAAGGGAAATTGCAGCTAATGCCAAAGAAAAACAGTTGTGATTCCTACGCACAACACACACAAACGCAGGCGCTTCCCTGACCCGGGTGCAGGATCAGGCCTCCCGCAGCCGGCAGTGCCGGGGCTCGCTGGCCCTG